ACTAAGGGCAAAATTAATTATTTGATTCATATAATGTTGGCTCAGTCTCTAAATTTTAATTTGTCATTACTAAGTTCTTAAAAATTTAACTTAATTATAACTTAATTTTTAAACTTTAACTCAGTACAATTCAGTCCCTATAATTTTAATATTTAAAATACTACTCCTATATTTTAGACAATAAAACTAGACAGATTAAATCTTCATAATCTTTGTCAAATTAAAAATTTTAGTATTTTAAAATTAGTCCCCAAATGTTAACATAATTTTAATATTTAGAATTTTATATATTTTAAATATATAAGGACCAACATTTTAAATGGTTCAAACAGTGGAATTGAATTGCAATGAGTCAAGATATAAAAATTGAGTTACAACTAAGTGAAAACTACAAGACCAAGCTACAGTAAGTCAAAGTTTGATGATCAAGTTATGACTAAGTTAAAACTATAAGGATTAAATAATTAATTTTTTCATACTAAAATATAAAATTGAGCAAGAGCTACTACATTATTTTGAAGGAGTGCAGCTAAAGAAGTTAGGTCATACGAGTTGTAAGGTTGTCTTCACAAATCCACACTTAAAGTCCATAACCAAAATAATATGGTATTAACACCAAAAGGATTACCATAATAATATAACATCATCTCAATTTTCAAAAGTCAAAAACCATTAAAAATGGGTTTCAAGTTTTCACATTTTAAAAAGACTATTATGTAACTCTAATAAACCAAAATCAAAGTAAAATATATTTACAGAAACATGAAATATTGAATTGTAGTAAAGCATTTGCATTTTAGTTGAAAGATAACATTTTAGCACAAGAACACAAAGGTGTGTCACAACATGTCTCTCATGCACCATGGCATGATTCTCTTTGTACCATGCACCGTGGTGCATTATATAAAATTGATAGCTCTATTGTTGTCATTTGACAATAGTAAAGGTGAACTTTTAATGCGTCTCATGTCTTTATTTAATGTTCGATTGAGATGATATGGAGTTTATAAAAAGTTCTATCAGAGTTTTAACTAATGGTACTAGTTTCACACACAGATCATTTTTCAATTAAAAGTTAGACATTCAAATGCAAAGTCACTCCTTTATGGTTTTAAAATCATAACCAAGTGTCATAAGCTCACAACCATCCCTAAATTACACTCAATAAACTAAATATAATTGTGTAACACACCACGACATTCCAATAACATATATATATATATATATATATATCATATTTTCAATGTCCAATTTCTTAATTTCAGAATTAGAAGGTGCGATCTCAATCATGTAACTTCACAGGTAATTCATCATCATTCACAAGAGTACCCACTCCTTAGTTGTACTAGTATTTTGGCTCTATTTAGATTCTATATCTAAATCATACCTTAAGTTATTTAATATGATGGAAAAATTGATGGGGATTTTACATATAGGATACAAGTTGGGTGGTTTAATTAAAAAAAATTAAAGAAATTATTTACAATTGAAAGATATCTAATAAAATTAAAGGAAAGTTTTATCAAACTGGCATAAGATTAACTTTGTTACATGGTAGTAAATGTTGGGCTTTAATAGGACAGTAAAAGCATCAAGTTAGAGTAGTGTAGATGAAAATGTTGAAATGAATGTGTAGGCATACATAAAAAGATAAAATATAAAACATGCATATGTGAGAAAAAGTGTGCATAACATCTATTATGAGAAAAATGGTAGAAAGTTGTTTAAAATGATTTAGACAAGTATAAAAAAGACTGTGAGAGGTACCAATGAGAAGAGTGAAACAGATAATTTTGAACCCTGTTAAAATAGTAGAGGAAAGCCAAAGAGAACATTTATGAAAGTTGTTGAATGAGACCTCTATGTTAACAACATTTTTAAAAGTTTGGCAAATGATAAAGTATAATGACATCATGCAATCCATATAGTTGACTTCATTTAGTTGAATAAAACTAGTTATTGTTATTTGTTGTGGTTTATGTAAAATATAAAATCGAAATGAAATTTTACTCCTAATAAAATATAAAATGCCTCATCTAAGACTTCATATATTTTATTTTATTTTATTTTAAATATTGCGTCAACGAAATAGAAATGTTAATATCTAATACATCACCAAACATTTGGATCAACAAATTAGGAGCTTGATCTAACTCAATTAGAAATATTGAATTCAAGCTCTTGATATGTAATAACAATCAAAATTTGAATTAGAAGAATGCTTTTTAAAAAATATTTACAAATTATTGACCAAATTAATTGAGAAAATGATAATAAAATCCCCCTAATTTATATAAATGATAATATGATCTCTCAAAATGTCATAATTTTATTGAAATTTTTAGAGACTTTTGTGTTAATAAATTTTAAATTTAAAAAATTACTTTACCCTTATTGAAAATAACAAGCATCAATCATATGTTTTACTTGAAAAAAGCAACTATTGTTCTGTGAATTATAAGAGTTAAATAAGAAATTATAATTTATCAAGTGTAATTTTTATTATTAAAAAATAAGTTTCAATTACAAAATTTGTTTAAAAAATAATAAATTTTATTTTGTGAATCACAAGAGTCAGACAACAAATTTATTACAAAAAAATAACTTTTGACAGCAACAATTTAAAGTTGCTGCCAAAAATCTACTTTTGGCGATGACAATATGTTGCCCCCAAAAGTAATCACTAAAAATATATTTTTAGTAGTGACTTTTAAATGCAACCACCAAAAGTCTATTTTAATTGTTGCTGCCAAATATAACTATTTGTCATCGTTAAAAGTATTTTTATAAATAAATAATTTAAAAATTAAAAATAATTTGTATAACTATTTTAGGTAATAACATTTGTCTTCACTAAAAGTATTTTAAAAAATTAAAAATAAATTTAAATTATATGAAATAATCTATAAAATTATTATTTAAATTATTAAACAATTTCTTATGAATTATTTTAAAATTTAATAAAATCATTCAAAAGATATTTATAAAATCAAATTTCTAATTTTATATACAAAATTAAAAGTAAATGATATGTAGGATAGTGAGACAAAGAAAATAATGGTGAAGATGTGTTAAGTACAATTATAAAATCATTTTTTCAATTTTATATTATTCATAATATTTTTTAGACATATATAGCTTATATTTTTTTAATAATTATGTTATTAAGCTAGTATTTTAATTAATAAGTTATTATTTTTAATTATATTTAGGTTAAGTTATATATAAACTATTATTTACATACAAATATATAAATTGCATTAGAATGTCAAAGTTGTTTAGATGTTGCAAAATGCAAATGACATTATAGACTAATGGACATATTGCACACTTTATACTTAACTTAATATACACACGGTACCTATTTCTTCTGTTAATCTTTAATAATGGCTTTTGGATAAGGATTTTATGTGATTCTTCCTATCGTATTTAGATTTTCATTGTTATAAAAAAAGATGTTCCTAATAAGATTTTTATAACTAATTACTACTAAGACTAATATGAAAAATTATTCAAATTTACCTTGCTATCAGGTAGAAAATGATTAGATGTTAGCTAGATTAATCACATATGAGATTCTTGTGATTATCTTGTATTGTAAAAGTTCTTAGTATTTATTAAAAATTTAAAATTATTTAAAATGACTACTGAAAAAAATTTATGTGGTTAAAATTAATTCGTTATTAACATACTTTTTTAAGATATGAAAAGAGTATAGATAAAATATATTTTTAATAAAAGGGGAGGAAACATTTGACCACTTTGAGAGAAGATAAAAATTAAATAATTTAATTTATTAGTTTTTGAGAAAAATATGGAGAAGATAAAAGTAAAAAATATTTAACATAAACTAATGTAATACATATTTGTAAATAAATTATATACTTAATAATTTTCACTTAAAAAATAAATTTAAAAATTAGTTACAATGATTATAAGAAAATTATTTAATATTTAAAAATTTTTTTAAGTTCATTTTCTGAGAAAACATAATATTTACTAGTAAAAAATAATATTTTATTAAAAATATCATAAAAATATTTCATCCTATTAATAATTGAAAATAGAATATATATATATATATATATTTTAGTAATATATTATTTGATATACGTGTATGTAGTTAAATAATATAAATTTAATTTTACATATAATAATTGTATGTGTATTTCAATTCAATTGGTAAAGAAAGAAGATTTGATATTTGGAGATGGGAGGTCAAAGGGTTTAAATCTTATATTTGGCATATTTTGTAATAAATATGTGAAGTAGCCACATGGTTTGAGGAGTCGCACACGTGACAGGTAATATGGTATAAGATGGTGGGGTGGCATGGCATTATTTGTAGAACACATAGTGTGTGATGTGATGTGAGGTGGAATCATGTAATACACATATAATAGAGTGATGTGATATAAAATAACTCATTATTTTAAAAAAGTTTTAGTGTGGCAAAAACTAAACTTTAGGTAGCAACACTAAAAGTATACTTACATTGTCACTGCAAATAATTATTAGCAACGAAAGTTATGATAACAATCCTTCAGTAATGACTTTTGAACTTTTATTCGTAACTTATTATTGTTGTCAAAAGTCTTTTAGTAATTACAACTTATCAAGTATAATTTTTTGTTATTATAAAATAAATTCTCAATATAATAAATCATAATCATAAATTTTATTTAAAAAATAATAATTTTTATTAAAAAAATTATAAAAATTGAACAAGAAATCACAGTTTATTAATTAAAAATAAAATAGTTTTTTTACTTTAAAATTTATTAACACAAAAATTTTAAATTTTTTTAATAAAGTTATAATATTTTAATATATTAAATTATTATTTATATAATTTGAGAAAGTTTATTGTCATTTTCCCAAATTAACTTGGATGAAAGACTCAGCGTACCTGACGGGGAAGAAATTGTAGAATGGGAAGACAAACGAGATTAAATTGAATTGATTGCATGATGGGGGTACACCGCATATGTCAATCTAAAATGGTACGAGCGTCTCAAGGATCGTGCGGTCACGAGGGACATTTGAAGATTCGGATGCCTGGAGAGAAAGAGATCAACGGACAGGGAACGATGATAGTGGGGCCGGAGAATCGAAGGCCTTGAGCCAGGTACAAACAAGGGAGGAGTGGGTCCCGCATCATCGACACGTTGTGGTGCGACCGTAGCATGGTATTGGAGACCCATGTGTGGTGGTCCGGTTGTGAAAAGACAGGAAGTATAGCCCTCGGAGAAGGGTGAGGTAAGTAATTACGAGGCTGGCTTCGGGCAGTGGAGGGCGGGAGAGGGGTCGAGTTGTCAGAGTCAGGGGAGACACGTGGCGGGTGAAGGTAGAAGGATGCATGGTAGCAACGATAGGGATAGAAGGCATTGAATAAGGGAAATCGATCGAAAAGCAAGGAGGGTGAAGGAGAGCCATAAAGCGCATGGGCCAAGGCCTCTCCCTCTCACTGTGTGATTCAGACAATGTCGTGCCACACGCACCCCACGTGTCAGACAATCCAACCTGAAATTTACTGCTCCCACGTTAGTTTGTCTTCGTTGATGCCATATCCCATGAAATAAAGGACAAAACAAATGAGAGAAGGACAAAACAAATATGTCAAGAAATTTGTAAGTAAAGAATATGTCAAGAAATACTAAATCATTTTTACTGTTTCTGGTATTGAATTCTCACCCGCTTCTGCAGGAGGTAGGAGGAAAGTTCAGGCCTTTGTCTGAAATCACTGGCGTGTGCCCTCGCTGTAAAGAACAGATCGATTGGAAACGCCGTTATGGCAAGTACAAGCCCCTTGTCGAACCTGCCAAATGGTATTTCCTCCCTCCCTCCCTCCTTTTTCTTTTTAAATTTTCTTTCCATGTTCCTGTTTTGCTGTCGTTCCTCTATTATCTTTTAGCATTACAGTATTTGGTTAGTTGAGTGGCCTTCTCCAATGTCTAATGTTGCAGCCAGAGATGCTCTAAACGTGCCGTTCGTCAAGCTTACCATAACCTGTGTTCTGGTTAGTTTTGCTTTGTCCTTTTGCAGTGTTTTTGCTTCTAAGATTTGTTTTAGTTTGTATAAACAATTTTTTTTTCCCGTGGATTTTGTCTTTGCCTGATTGGTTTTGGTGATAATGTAGGTTGTGCCAAAGAGCACCGGGTTTGCGCTAAGTGTTGTTGCGCTGTGGATCGTATAGTTGGAAGGTCATCTTAACATTTTGATGGATAATTCTGTTTCTGTTTTATTTGTTTTGTCCTTTGTGAAATGTGACCATTAAGCAAATTTAATTTGAAAGATGGTTGGAGTAAGAGAAATATGTCAAGAAATGAGAGAGATGGCTGAAAAATAAAAATAACAAATGAGGTTTTTTTATTAAGGCAGGAGGCTAAGGGTGATTTTGTAAATAAAATAATTATATTACATCACTCCATTCTTAAGCCCTAAATTTTGGAGGACAAAAAAATTGATTTGTGGATGGCAAAGAAGGGCTCTACAAGCCTTCATTGCCATTCCATCATTCTTTAAAATAAAAACTCACAAACAATGGTTTAGACTTTTTAGTCATTTCACTTCATTTCATTTCTTCCTAAAACAAATCTCTCAAACATAGTGTTAATGTATCAATGGAGGTACTATTTTAAATTGTTACATTAGTTTAATTTAATCTCAACAATGATCTAGAAAATATTGAAATATATAATTAATTGTTATGAATATAAGAATCATGTGAATGTCCATCTCCATTGTCTCTTCATCTTTATCTTTTTTCATGAAACTCCCACCATCGTGAGTGTTGATTATGCTTTATATGCCATTATTAAATGTGTAACCTTTAATATAAGTCCATGCCTATAAATAAGACATGTCATTTATGTTGTAAACATGAAAGAGAATATAAGAGATATTATCCTCATTTTTATTGTCTCTATCCTCTCTCCTCCTTCTCATCTTCTTATTTTCTTTCCCTCTGTAATTTACTCATAACACGTTATCAACATGAATCTCTACCAGATGAGTCTAACGTATTGTTCTAGAAATTTCTTATCGATCGTTGGTCATTACATAGAGATAGTTTGATCCAAATGATGTGGAAGAGTTTTCCAATTTGTCTAGAGGAATTAATAACCTTGCAATTTCAAATAATGTATATGGATGGTTGGAGATTCATATTCATCATATTGAGATACGAGAATTTTATTTTCTATATTCTTGTTTCATAATTAATTTTATGATTCATTTTGTTGTGTGATATGACTATGATTGTTAGTTTGATATAAATTAATTTTTCTTGAAAAACAATATTGAATTATTGTTATTCTTAATACTATTGATCATATGATTAGATGATTAGAAGCCACGTTAGACTATTCTGTGGTTTCAATAGATGACATGATAAGAAAAATACGTGACATTTTGATTATCTGAGTACACTTAAAATATTACAGCCTTGAAGGTTAATTATTCAAGCATCAAAAGATGTCAAAGAGTTTGTGTAAATTTGAAAGACTCTTGCTATAGTCTTGAAGACTAATTTTCATGAAATCGATTATGTGTTGTTGAAAGCATGGACAAATATCTATGAAAGTGATAAAGATCATGATTCAAAAATATCATGAGTGATAATATCTATGGTCACAGAGCGTTATTGTGATTAAACAATTGAAAGCCAACAATATTTTGTCTTGGCTACTAATTTTATTAAAAGGAATAATTGTCTTCCCATAGCTGTTGAAAAATAAAGTTTTATGGGCATTGAAATAAAAATTATGAGGTAATGTTACAATATGGCTAGAAGCCATATAGACAAATACGTATGAGCAATTCATTAAAATTAAATATCCAAATTGATTATGAAGACAAAAGGGTAATGAAATATTGATGAATGTAGAAAGTAATTATAAAATGATCAAAGCCACATGTTGTAATCAAAGAAAATGCATGGAAAAGTTTTTGTAAGGAAAAAAAAAATAATGACAAGGTCTGAAGGTTACATGATGATACTGAAATTTAAAATTAAAGGATACGTTATGTTTAAGTCTAGAAGGCTATATTTGAAAGTCTACATAGTGTTCAATTGTTGTTAATATTTAAACTTATTGTCATTAATTTAGTGAATAATTATTATAATAAATATTTGATATTGATTTAATCTTGATATAATTTTAAAGGAATTATCAAAAATCATTGCAATATGTATAAAATTGTATTTATATTTCTAATTTATTATATTGAGTATATAATTTATAAATTAATCTACATTAAAATATGTCAATTAAAATTGATTAGCTATTTCAAAACTAAAATATATGTCTCTCATTATGTGGTTGGAAAAGGATAAGTGATGAAAGACAAGGCCATAGATATCAAAGATTGATTTGTCAAGGACTTGAATGCATTAGCTCAATCAAATTAAAACCCATAGTTTTGTTTGAGTTGAGAAGCATTTGGGTTTTTAAATGAAAAGTAGGTTATTGTTCTACTATGCATAGTTCATTGTCTACAAAATGCAATAATAGAAAAATTATGTTTATGTAATTCTCACTTGAGGGAGAGATTGTAGGGGCACAAGTATGAACTAATACGTGACTGAGTATCACTCATATACTTGTTCTAAAAGTTCAATAGGTCCCAGATGCATATTAATATCATAAATCAATTATATGTTATGCAAAATGAAAAGTTTACACTGAATTTTTGTTACAATCAACTTGTAGTTTACTAATCCACTACATATTATTGGTATAACTTGTTTGATCATTTCAATGTATATAATGCAAATGGTTATTGAAAATATGCATTAACATCATTGAAGAACTAGAAGATTTTTTATGGAAAAAAAAAACATGTTATATACTTTAAGATTTTATATGTGCTGCTTGTTCTCAAAGAAAAATATGAGATATTCACTAGTTATGATTGAGAATAGATCTATCCATTTCTAAAAATATAACAAATTCAAATATATGAGCACATTAGATAGTATGTGAATAGTGTAAATATTCAATAAATTTGATAGATGCACCTATCATATATTTTTGCAACATGAAAGTTGCAAGATTATATGCATAAATTATATATAAAAGCATACTATTTCTAGACTATGTGATCTAGACAAATTTAGTTAGAAATGCTAGTAAATTTATACTTTAGACTTTGAAAAAGCCTATTTAAAAGGTGGTCTAACAAAATCATTTGTTAAAGCCTCTTTTACAAATAGCTGATCAATGGTTAGAAAAAAAATATTTTTATTGTTGACTTAAAATACTTGATGTTATGAACTATAGAACAATATGCATTAAATCAATGAGGTATTGTAAATTTCCCTTTTTGAAAATTGGCTATTAGTTAGAAGCCAAGTATATGCCATCTTAGAATTTTTAAATGTGTAATGTTTATTATTATTGTTCCACCATGTTACACATAGATGATTATTCATGAAAAGTTGAAATAAATGTTGGATGAAAACTTTCTCCTTCTTGTTCGTCTCTGAATAAAACAAATAGATTTAGGAGACTTATACGGCATGATTAGCTAGTTGTCATCATTTGACAAAGTTTTCCCAACATGAGGGGGAGAAAATGAATAGTTAGAAAAGAAAATACATGTAATACATTATCACTATATCTTATTTGAATCTTCACATATAAAAGTATGAACTAGGAGTTCATCAAATGTTGTATTCTTAAAATATCACAAAAGAATCTTCCAGATACAATCATTGACTTATATGAGAATTACTAAATTTCTTGTTCTAGCTAAAAATGCTCCAATTAGAATATATGAAAATAAATCATGCTTGAAGCATTAAAGACTAATTGGTTCCTAATACAAAATCATATTGAAGAGGCAGACACTTTATAAGAGAGTCACGACATAACTAATTGTAAAATTCAAGAAGAGATTCAGGTACCTAAAAGTAATAAAGAGGGATCTTAATCGGTTATGTCACACTTGGAAAAATGGAATTAAAAATATAAAGTTATTGATAAGAATTTTAATGATAATATCACGTGATTAAATAAGGATTTTGTAAACAAATTTTTCATGAAAAGTAGACAAGAGATGGTTGGCCAAAGAGAAAAGGATTAAGGGTTACTTTTATCCCTAAAGTGTACACAAAAGGTCACAAATGCTCTTAAACTCAACTATGAGTTAATTCTATCTCTCAATTTTAAATATTCTCTCTATTATTACCTTGACATTAAAAAAAACACTTAACATCCATTAGTTATTAATGAGTCTCACTATTTTTAAAATATTTTTATTAGGTTAAGGGTTATTTTTGCCTCTCAACTTCTATTTGAAGGGTCATTTTTTCCCCTCAATTTAAATATTTTTCAATAAAAAAATATAATATGGGGCTCACTAACAATTAGAAAATGATAAGGTAATAAGAAAAACTCTGCCTATGTTTATAGCCGGTCCCAAGCCCGGGTAAAGGAGGAGGGTTGTGTTAGGCCATCAACAGCCAATGTAAAAATTTGTTGAATCTATCATGAACATGGACAATAGACGTTATAATGTTAATGCTAGGTCGTTGCCCGTAAGTAACGCGCTGCATGGCTCGAGTACAGTGATAAGTGAGTTAGAGCCGCTGCATCGGCGCCCGGATGTAGTGTTAAATGAGCAAGGACTACCGCGTCATTCTGGACGCACGCGGCTAAAGAAGTTAGTCCATAAAAGCAAAATTAGATTTGGTACTTGGAATGTTGGGACATTAAATTGTAAATCTGTAGAGGTTGTAGGGGTTATGATTCAAAGGAAAATCAATATCCTTTGCTTGCAAGAAACAAAATGGCGTGGAGAAGGAGCTAAGGATATTCAAGGTTTCAAACTTTGGTATACAGGAAAAGTAAGTGCACGCAATGGAGTAGGCATCATTATAGATAAGGAGTGGAAGAAGAACGTTGTAGAAGTTAGCAGAATTGGAGACAGAATTATTTCTTTAAAAATGATAATTGGACGTGAGACTGTTAATATTGTTAGCGCTTATGCGCCGCAAGTCGGGACAGAAGCCAGTCTTAAGGAATTATTTTGGGAGGATCTGGAGGGGTTGATTCGACACATACCACAGAGTGAAAAGATTTTTATTGGAGGAGACTTTAATGGGCATGTCGGGAGGGAAGCTGGTCAGTATGCGAGGGTGCATGGTGGTTTTGGTTTTGGAGAGCTAAACAATGAAGGGCAAACTCTTCTTGATTTCTCATTGGCGTATGATTTTAAGATTGCCAACACTTGTTTCAAGAAGAGAGATGAGCATCTCATCACTTACAA